TAGTAGTTTAAGTACACTGAGGGTAAATGGGACTCCCACTTTATTAACTTATTGGACAAAACTTAGGTGCTGGTTGCGACAATGACCAGTAAGAACAACTCTGGATACCGAAGTACGAAAGTTTCCTGACCCAGCGTATATTCTAAAGCATCAAGGGAACTGGGAACAAATTACCGACAGCACAGAGCAAGGTAGAGCACGACTCACTGAGAATTCGGAAGTGGACGGACGTGTGTGCAATCAGTGTTAAAACAAGATCAATCAGAAAGCACTAAGAACTCGGTTGATCGACCTGCGCTATTGAACGTGGCTTGCTAATGAACGGGGTCCAGGCAAGTACACTGCCATCCTACGCGCACTCTACCTTGCACGTCTCCTGCTGAATGAGGGTCTATAGTAAGCTTCCTTCCTTCTTCGCTGTCCATTGCGGTGTAGAACAGGACTGCCCATGTTACCCTTTCCTCGACAGCTTTGCGATTGAGGACGTCCTGTCGTGAGCTCTGGAAGGTTGTCAACATTTTCGTTTGTAGCTACTACCGGGCAGGCGAGCGACCTACATAGATTATCCCGCTGACATCGCCTTGTTTGAAAAAGACCCACAGAACATGGAAAACGGTCTAAACCGTTTGGCAATTGAGGGCATCTAAGTACGGAATTTGCTTCGCCCATCTAGATATATTGTGCTGCCTCCAAGCTTGTCACTCGGCCCTTCTCATGCTCATTTTTGAAGGCACACAGCTTGAACACGCTGACAGCCTTGGCTGGCCTGGGCAACTGCTTGTCTGTTGGTGGCACTATCGAGAAGGAATTTTCTCTCCGCATCGCCGCAGCTCGGTCGGCGTTTGTCAACTTGAAGCACTTGTGACGTTGTCGGGATGTCTCCTTCGTGGTAAAGCGTATGTTTACAATGCCACCGTTCGGGCGGTGTTGCTATTTGGAAACGAGAAGTGGCCAGTTCGCGTGGATGACATGCGCCGGCTCTCGGCCTTCGATATTTGGTGCTTGAAGAGGATTGCTCCTGTTTGGTGGCAACAACTTATCTGCAGCGGTGAAGTCAGGCGCCGTGCCTTAGGGAATAAGAGTGTTCCCTTCAACAAGCTGTTTTTTGCTGCGGTCAGTTAATATGGCTCGGTCACGTCCTGCGTTTGTCAGCTGGGCGTTTACCCCATTACGCCCTTTCCGATCTTGCAGGACTTTGCTGGAGGATGGTAGCATCATGGGGGGGTCAGCCCTTCCACCTGACGACAGCAGTCATGAAACTGTTGTACTTCACGTCTTGCTGCCTGATTGGGGACTAAAGGAGGAGGAATGCCGATGACTGGAAACAACTCAGGATATGGCGCGCAGTCGGAACCAGTGGAAGATCCGATGTAACATACTTGTTTATATATTAGATACTTAACGCAAAACCATTGAAATCTACAAAAAATAACGAAAAGAATGGCGTGTGCAAACCAGCAAATGTTGCAGCACAGTAGACTGAAGTGTGTTGCCCACCTTCGGCCAGTGTCAATCATGATGATGGTAGTGATACAACCTGTCATCTTCCCTTGATTTTTCATTGTCTTTCATGGTTTTGTTGAACTCATATGTCCTATTCGCTAATCGTGGCTAAATACATAACACATGCAAAAAACAAAAAAAATTCAGTTTCGTGAGATTACTGAGAATGTAAATGTTTCACATTCACTACAAACTACTACTGTACATGATATCCTGGCTAATTGAACTATGAGGTGGTTTGCTAACCCAATTTGCGCAGCTCCTGCCTGCCAGAGGGCTTTTTATTATTCGTTTTTTCTTACGGGAATTAACGATGCCAGTACGTTACAGCTTGATTGGCACATGTGTAATAACTCGTATTCGTGACTGACTGCTGTGTTCGGCTACATATCTCGTTTTCTATATTTGCACGCTCCTTGACGCTAATTAGTGGCGTTTTTGTAGCCCTGGTTTCAGATAATCTTTATCCACATTCTTACTTGGGAATGGGCGACCGCGATACCATGCAAAAGTTTGTGGCCTGTTGTGCACTTTTAAGTAACATGAGATGTTACTATCGGGGTTCAGGTTTGTTCTGGCTGGTATTATCGACTCTTTCTACCTTTTCTTCCGAATCAGATGCTTCGCGTTGTAACCACTGACAAACTTGCATTCTGCGTACGTTAGGTTGCGTTTTGAGGTTGAATCGAATCTGGATTCTTAATAAGCTTACATGCATCTGGTGCTTCTTCAGCCATGTATATTGCATTGTCAGCTGTTCAAGACCACCGCAAGAAGCAAACTGGACACTACACTAGTTCTCTCTCTCATCGAAGTCCATCAGGAAGCGGTCGACTCGAGGCCACTGTCACTTTATATCTGAACTTACTGAAGGGGGTCACTACGCGGATTCAATAGGCCACGATCATCTATCATACACATTAAATGGATATGACAAATAACACCTCTATTGTGCCACAATAATCTTATAAGAAACAAAACGACACGAGCAAAAACATAACAGTCAACAACTATACTTTGCCTGAAGAGGTTATTTTGAAACACTATCTGTGTGCATGGATTTCGACTCGCACTGTTGGGTCACGGTCGCAATTCGTACTGAAGTGAACCTAGATCTTTTCGGTCACTTGGACAGTAAGTGAGAGAAACGGATATTAATTGTATACCGGCCCGCTAGTTGTGCTTTGATTTTTTACTTTGTATCAGTTGTGAGATCATGGTTTGAGGGAGAGCTACAAGAAACACTGTACAAACACTTTGTATCAGGTCGGCTCTTTGCAGTGTCAACGTGGCCATACGCTGTTTACGCGACTGAGATCTGGGTGGAAAGAAAAAGGACTCCAGTCGATGACATGGTCAGGAGGAATGGGTTTTCTCACTTTGAGCTTCACCTTGGTGGGCGCTTACCGATCGAAGGACGATGAACACGTTTGGTTGGATACGCTTGTTAAGACTGCAAAAGTCGATCTCAATCGAGCTTGTGTTGTGAGTTTCTTTATGGCTCCACCTACCACAATTTAACAACTGATTCACAGTTCAACAATCAATACAACAACTTGCGGGAAGACAACACTCAATACCAATCTCCATCCATTACGGTCCAAGTGATCGACTCACCAAGGTTCAGTACAATGCGAATCGCGCTCCACATTTAAGATTGCGCGTCGCATTCAATTTACACAATTAGTGCTTCAGAAATGACCCTATCATAGCATGCTTTTGTTTGCTTGATTTTGCTTTCGTGACTCTGTTTCTCTAAAACCGTTTACTTGTGCTGTATTGCGGCGCGTTAGCTATAGTCTCCCTCATCTCTCTTTGCTGTGCATGATGATAATGACTGCCCCGCAGCTGTTCGGTTGGCAATAGAAGTATCTCTCAACACCTCTTCCACAGTCATCATCATCATCATTATACACGTTAGCTAGAGGTGGGAAACACCTCAGCTACTGTGCCGCAATACATAGAAGAAAAAGGAGAGAAAAAAATGCAACTGGTGCAAGCCGGCTGAGCTACCGGTAACGGATGGGCATCGTTCCGATAAGCTACCAGCGGCTACTATGCATCAAAAAACATTACTATGCAAAATTATATAAGGCTAAATAGTGAGATCGTGGTTGGAGGGGGGAGGCTAGGAGGGATGGGGTGGGACAATGAAACTCACAGCACGAACGCCACTGAGGTCGGCTCCTAGCCATATCAGCAAGTGTGTCCAACCAAACGTGTTCATCATCTTTCGGACCCCAACCAGGGAGCCGAGACGCTCCAGCCGAGGCCAGCTCCGAAGTGAGGGCCTTCATTCCTCTCGACCAAGTCATCGTTTGACCACCCCTCCTCTTCCATCCACACTCTCGGCGCGCAAACAACGCACATCGCGGGAGTCGGTGGGCTGGCATGCGTAACACGTGGCCGAGCCATCGGAGCCTGGTGCATGAAATAATGGTGCTTTCATTCGTCTACCAACTTCTTCCTGACCCCGTTATGCCACCAAGTTTTCGCATTGAATCTGGGATTCCGGCTGGCCGTTTCTGGTCACTTCATCCCATTATCCTTTTTGTATCCGTCATATGGTTGGAATCCACGTGATCCACCTTATGTTTGGCTCGGGACGGTCCAGGACATGGCTCTTAGTCGGTGCGTAAATTACGGATTTATCTGCAGTGCAATAACCCATCAGGACGCTGGGCAGTTAAAGCCACTGGTTAGCCAGCTGTTTATAACCGTGCGTTGTTGGTAAATTGTGGGCGCCTTGGCCTTATATGTTTGTTACGGCGATATAGGTTCTACCTTAGGTCACCTTTCCCGACCTTTTATTATCTTTCAATCTCTGGGTCATTCTAGTTGTACTTCAGCGGATCATCAGTTAAATGGCTGAAGCGATGCTGTTGTCGTTGTTGTTATTGTCGATGCGGACGACCTCACAATATACCAAGCGCAGGCTACGGATGGTGGTCTCCTGGCAACGATGTGTCGGTACTGTGTGCCGGCATACTGCTGGTGGCTTTTTGTCTTGTCGGTCTGTTTGGTTATTCACCGAGATGCTTCCAACTGCTTATTTCGATTGCCCCATCTTCCCATTCACAGCTTTGCAATATGAATTAAACGCCTTGAAGCAGAAAATCAGCGACATCACTCAAAAAATCCATTGTTTATTGAAGGAGAAGGACTTGCTGCAGAAACAATGCTGTGCTGTGAGTCTCATGTTATTGAAGCTCGTTTACTTTCCTATCTCAAAACATCCGCCAACTTAATGCCATGTATTCGATGTGCCTTTCCCTAATGTTTGAATTTTCCAACCCAAACGTAGTCCGTGTATGCTGTGGTCTAACTGCAGATAATTTTAAATTATGCAAACCAGTCAGGCATGATTTTTGGAGACGAAATCTAGTTGTGCTTCAGGTTTGGTCGGAAAGGCCACTATGTTACTCAGCTCAAGTGCCTGGATGAATGAGGTATCAGTTTTATTGAAGTTCCCGGCGATGACAGACTGAGCGGTTCAGTCTAGGCAGTAAGGCCGAGTATAGTTTATCCGCAAAAAATTTTCAACTCTGATGCTTATGTGTCAGGGGATGCGTATACATTCCCAATAATAACAGCAATAAAACCACTCAAAAGCGTTGGCTTACATTCAAGCAAATGGCAGCTGATTGCGACTGTTGAATAGGTAAAGATATGTATGACGACCCACACCGGCGTTGATGGACGTAGGTGAAGACACCCCGTCCACGATTCTGAGGCATTCCAGGGCGGTTGAATCTGATAGCGAAGATAACCAGCAATTTGATTAAAATTGTCTTCCACGTCAGCATGTAACCAGCTCTCTTGAATCGTCAAAATAGCTGCATTCGAATATTCAATTTGATGTACAAAAGCGGTAAGATCCGCCATTTTTCCAAGGAGTGATCGAATATTGCTGGATAAGATCAGTGGAATTTGTGTCTTGTCAACTGAGCGACGTCTAAGGCTTACTTGCCAGCCAGCACGGTGTTTTCTCAATTTACAAGAATGCTTCCGCATAACTCGTTTAAAAGTATTTCGGACTTTGTGAGCATATTGAATAATACGCGGATGTGGAGCAGTATCACGGAGAAATTTCAAAATGTTGACGGAATAAGACAGCATCGAGGTCAAAAATTATGCAGCTAAACAAAATGGCAAGTGTTTTGTGAATTCAATAAATCAGTAGTAGCTAGAATGAAATGGGTTTCTCAGTGAGAAAGCGACGACCACACTTCATCGTATAGACGAGCGGTGTTCGCCAGCGCTGTCCTATATCCCCTTTCCTCTCCCGCCTTTTGATCCAAATGATCATGAATGATTCGGTTCTTTCAGACTCTAACGGAGTCTGACTTCTGCCAGGTGACCGGCTACCAAACCTTGGGTATGCGGACGCCATGCCTTTAGGCTTAACAGACTTATGCGAAACTCAGCACGTTTCTGAATGTGTCTTACACCTTCAAGATGCAAATTACTGTTGCAGAACTGGACCGATACGTCACCGGTTTTAACTCTTAGCGAGCAGCCACTGGAAGTGGTGGGTCAGTTCACTTGGTTGCTGTCCCCATTGGGGGGATGTTACTTCGCGCATCAGCAAGGCCCGTATAGCATTACAGGGTTTCATCCATCTATGGAGATGGCGGGATATCAGTCAGTGAAAGCTACGATGTTTAACACTACGATAAGGCCTGTGTTACTTTCTGGATCAGTGAAGACATTAAACGATTGGCCGTGTTATATCACCGGTTCCTGCGGTGGATTACCGGATGAGAGATTCGGAGTTCCAGTAGTTGGCTTCTGGCATAAAACCTTTCGATGCCTCTCTCGAGTGTGTAACCGCTTATCTTGGCTAGGTCATGTCCTCCTTATGCTTGTTGACCGGTGTCCTCGGCGTACATTATACGCCGTGGCTGCACGAAGTTGTGTAAAATCGAGATGTGACCAGTCGATGATATGGCTTAAAGACATGTAGAAATTGACTGAGACTTAGTCAGGCTGGTGCATTCCGTCTTCGTGGATTGGGGCCATGGGATAGTTCAAATCAGTGGCACAGTAGTGTAGCTACTTTCCTGCATTCCGTTTCTTGCATCTAGCTGTTAAGTTACCATTTCGATTAGTTTACCGCACTTCTTTCCTGGTTACATCTTTTTATTATGTTTCGGTCCAAACTCCTTTTGTTGTCTTTATTATTTATTGTTATTCAGGTGAAGTGAGTCGTTGCAACTGGGTGCACGGCACCACGATATCCGGATCATGTTTGTTCTACTTAACTGGATTGAGCTACAGCCTAGCAAACTTGCACTTATTAGCCGTAGTGTCTTGACACGCCCGCATCGCTCTTTTTAAGTGAAAACACACTGTTATATATCCCGATCATGAAGACCCAAAGGGAACTTGAGGTTGCCGCAGATATTTTATAATTGTAAAAATTTCTTTGTAAACGCATTTAGTGACACACGATCTATCAGATTGTTTCCTTATATTATTATTACTTGTTTTTCTCTTAACGTGCACATCTGTTAACCTCACAGTTGGGTAAGTCCACCGAAGGGTGATCCACTCATATTCTGTCCATTTTCAATTTGCTTCTGCTATATTTCCGTGCTTCCTTCTCCTATTTCTAGAATTTTAATTCTGTTAATGTCTCGGAATCGGATGTTGCAGACCACGTCACTTGCAGTCTCGGGCACATTGTTCTACAACCTATATCTCTCTCACTGTACACAACCAGTAGCGGTCGTTTCACTCAGGCAGTTGGACTATTCGGAATCTCTTCCTACAAAAACTAGGCTAATCGCTCCATTGTGAATATTCTTCATGCTCGTCTCGAGCCATCGATCCGTCGGAATCTGACCCAAACACAGTACTTCTTTATCCACTTGCCATCTTGCGTGTACTTTTTATTTGTGTCACGTCAGTGCAGCTGCTCAGATTTCAGAAGTAGGGGAAGGAGTGCTTGAGAAGCGATTCGCGTCTGTCAGAGAATACAAAAGCCCTATTTGCGGATGATATGCGGTATCAGTTCAAAGAAAACGTTGTATGTCTCTGCTCTTTTCGTATATCGGCCGAGTAGAATGATTCCTATCTTGCTGCACTCGAGGAGCTTATTCTGATAAGTGTGGTCACGTCGACTGGGTTTTTGCTTGATCAACAATTCACTGTTTAGCTGCAAACAGTCTCTAGCAACACCACGTTTCGAAGCACTCTGCCTCCAAATACTCACCCGCATAGAGGACCGATGCAAGAACGACAGCTTTGTCTTCGCTTGTTGCAACCGAATCCGACTCCTCAATAATCTAGGAATTGCGTTTAATCGGCGCTGATTTGGGACGAGGATTCCACGTAGCTCTCTAAGAACAACTAGTGACCACGTCTTGCAGTAGGTCATCCGGGTAATGTTATCGGTTAGATGCTGAGGATTCACCCATGAAATTTAATCGTAACTTATTGCAGCGATTGGTTCAACTTCCACTCTTCATCGAAACTTAGAACACAAATCCTCACTGGGTGGCGACGGCTGCCTCCATTCACTTATGGTATTTGTTCATGATATCACAGGTGTGCAGCACTAATCCAGTCAGCGTGACGCTGTTATTATCCGGAACCGTCGGTGGTAGGTGAAGCTCATTAACCGGAATCACGGCCTGATGCGACGTTTGGCCCTCCATGTTTCTACGGCAGCCGCCACCATTGCTCCTGTTACAAGCACGTCTGGCAGACGGTGTTGTCTGATGATCTTCGAAAGGGCGGTAATCGTGCCAGTTGAACTCACTGGGCTGAGTACTACTACTTCTGGCCAGTTGGAGTAAGCTTTACTTTACTTTACTGTCATGATAGCGAGAAAGATGTTGAACATCTATGTAGCTATATCTCAATGTAGGACATGTCCCACTGACACAGTGTTACCTGTAGTAGTGAGCTAGCCCAGGTGAAAAAAGTAAAATATTTACGAGCGTAGAAAAAAACTCCATGTACTTACGATATATTCTTGGATGAACCACATGGAGTCCTTCACCAGCTCCGCCGCCTATTACGGATGGGCATCGTTTCGGAAGCTGCAGTTGGTGGATTACGGGCTCCATGGGTTAAAATCATTGAACGATTTCTTCGTCAGTTTCCTGTGAAGGCTTCGTCGAATCTGGCATCCGCAAAGTGCGCGTCCAGGAATCGTTTGAATTCCGACACCGAGTTCGCTTCTACTATCCGCGAGGGCAAACGGTTCCACATGTTCACTACTCGCCGCTCAAGACACAAGGGATGAGCTACCCACTTGAGGTCAGGGACTACCAGTTTGTACTGGTGACCTCGTGTGCTGCTTGACGCACGGACATGGAGCAGTGGCCTCAGCATCGGATAAGCACCCAGATGCAATACCCGATGGGTCATGATGAGGTCCACTCGCACGCGGCGGTAGGCTAGAGTATACAGACCCAATTGTCTGCATCCTTCTTCATACGGCACACCCTGAAGACCGGGAATGAGCCGTGTGGCTATGTGTTGTACTCTTTCGAGCTTGTGTATCTCGCCTTTCGTCAACGGACAGTAGGCGGGTGAGCCGTATTCTAGCACCGGTCGTACAATGGATGTGAAGAGGCGAGTGGCAATCTCTTTCGACCAGGTGCAGAAGCTACGTTTCAGCGCCCACAGCGAACGCAATGCTGTTCGATACGTATTGTCCGTGTTGTCCAGTGACTTCATGTCGTAACGTTGTATAACGCCAAGGTCTCTGACGCAATGCGTCGGGTGTAGAACTTGGCCGTCGAGAGTGTACGATCGGCCCACTCCACCTTTACCGAGGCACAGAAGTAGCGATTTTGCCGAGTTGATAGGCAAACTTACTTCGGCGGACCACATGGAGAGGCGGTCGAGGTCCTGCTGAAGTATGTCAAAGTCGTCCGACGTATGGATCACCCTCCATAGCTTCAGGTCATCCGCGAACAAGGCACACGGCGACCGAAGGAGATTGGGCACGTCGTTGATGTGAATCAGGAAGAGAATGGGGCCAAGCACCGTCTCCTGGCGAACGCCGCTCGTCGACGGGTACCAGTCGGTCAGGTGGCTGTCGACTTGCACCCTCCACTTCCGTCCAATTAAGAAGTCACGGATCCATTGGTGCAGCGAGCCTCCAACTCCGCACTCTCTCAGTTTCTGAAGGAGGATCTCGTGATTCACTCTGTCGAAGGCCTTACTGAAA